TCCAGTTTAGAAAACGGGCTTGTGGTGAAACAGAAAAAAAAAGCCAAATTACAAACAGGAGATTCTCTTGAATGCACGTCCAAGAGAGGGTGGGAGTTGTTTGGATGCAACATCAGCTGGGAAACACTCAGCATGTGGGACTGAGGTGTGGAGAACCTTAACGTCTCTTTTAGTCCCAAAGCTTTTATCTCTCTCCAGAACATCTCTTTGAAACTGTAACATGGATACAAAGCAGATTATGAATTCTTTAGCACGTTAAAAAGCACAATTTAGAGCAGCTTTTGTGACTAAAAGGACATCTGGACCACAAAGTTCATGTGTAAGACTATCTTTGAACGATTTTGTCAAAGATAAGTCAAGAACCAAGATATTAATATCCAAAAACCAAGACTTTCAGGTGCAATAAGTTGTTCACTCTAAGGCTGGGTTCCTGTGACAGAAAGCAGTCATAATGATGGAGATATCTCAAGAGAACCGAACCTTTCTTCAACTTCCCGTCGTCTTTGCTCCCAATAATCTCCATCAGACACGTGCAGGACTTGCAGTCAAAGTCATACGTGTTGTGTTGTGTAAAGGGAGCTTTGCTGCACCTGTTGCTTTCAGTCTGAAACCCAAAGTAAGTCACGATGTTGAGACTCTTCAGAAAGTCTCTCTTGGTGTTTGAACAGGAAGTCATGACCCCTGCAGAGCAACACATCGCTGCTTTACTCTTCAAAGTCAGAAATACATATTTCTCCCGCTAAAACACGCTCATTTGCGGCCACACGATGAAGAGCATTATTCATGTGGTGGGACCTGTAACATCCAGATGCAGCTTTTTACGTAACTCACATCTGAAACATCCACAAAGCGTTCGTATGTGGAGGAGAGAAGAAGAAGAAGAAGAAGAGCTCTGACACTTCACAGGAAGCGCTGCCATACTCTTTGATTGTGGAGGTCAAACTCAGAGCATCTCACACACACACACACACACACACACACACACACACACACACACACACACACTCTCTGTACAGACATGGTGCTGCCTTGATGTTGCGCTAACATGATGTAACAGCAGCTCCCATGGGTGCTGGTTAGTCGACTTAATGTTAGCTTCAAAGAGCAGAGAGAGAAGAAGAAGAGAGGAGAGGAGAGGAGGGGAGAGGAGAGGAGAGGAGGGGAGGGAACACGGAGGTGAAGAAGTGAGCGTCTCCCATGATTGATTTCTTTATCTCCAAAACTGCTCTTTGTGAGCCCGTTGCTGTGAGCGCCGTCTCAACTTGTTACAGACAGAAAGAGGAACCAAAACCACTGGTTCTGTTCTCAAGTGGAAGATCACTTTTAAGATGACTATATGGAGCAGCCTTAAAGCTCCCATGTCATGCTTTTCCGGTTATTACCCGTCCCCTTGTGTGTTATGAAGGTTTGTATGCATGTAAACGGTGTGCAGAGTCAAAACCCTCAAAGTACACCCTGTAGCGAGTAAAACTCTAACACAGAAAATACCTCCCCAAAACGCCTCGTTGGAGATACGTCACTGCCCATTTGAGTCTTCCATTTAGTTCCGGGTACGGCATGATGTCATGCGGTACCCGGAACTAAATGGACCAATCCCGAAGAGCTATGGTCACACCCAGCGGCGCTGGCCGCACCCTCTGCCAGCCTAACATTTACTGTTGGAAGCTCTGGTTCAGTTCACAATCGATCCAGTCATGCCAATGCCAAGGACCTGTTTCCTGAAATGTGAGGAGAAATCTGAGCTGTTTGTCCTACCGACGGAAGAACCACGACGAAGTCAGTGGTTGAAATGTCTTTTTAACACTGTTCCTTCAGAGGTTCGAAGAACCGGCATTTCACAGACGAAAGCTTCCAAAACATTGCCCAGTTTGAGGCCGGATATGCACAGCATTTGAAACTGAAGGACGATGCTATTCCTAGTTTGTTTGGACCGTTTGGAGCAGAGGAAGATTCGGGTACACAACCTGTAAGTTTGCATTGTTATTTGTGTATTTATCAAACAAGACTGTTTAAATGTGTAAACTGTGTCGGACTGCTAAGCCAGTGCTAACTGTGCTAACTAAGTTGCTAGCGTTGCTCTAATATCAGCAGATGGCCTTACATACATGTATCTCATAGCAGGAGAATGTCTGCATTCACACACGAAATACTCATAGACAGTATACTCCGGGTGATTTACCGTACGGTCAGTCGCGAAACGTAATTACATTATAGCTGGCGTAGCGTGTATGCTACCGAGCTAAACAACAAGGCTACTAAGAGCTAGACATGAGTTTGCTCGGAAAAACATGCCAGCTACAATGAATGTAGCAGACTACCCGTATAAGATTGCAATTGTAAACATGTGCTTGATAGCCTAATATGAACCACTATCTGTTGTTCATAGTATAGTATAGCATATTGAACAACTGAACAACTAGCAAATGTAGATTAGCATTGTAATCCAGCTGGCAAACTGACGAACATCAAACAACTAAGTTTATTTCACACTTCCAGCAGAGACAACGGGGAAATCCCCTCTCTGTGCCCGCTCACAGACCCCCAAAGGACGGTACATTACAGTTAGCTTTCCTCCGACGCTGATAGCATGTATAGCTAACGAGGCTAGCTATACATGCTAGCGGGAAACATTGTATGACCGAACGTAGCAGACTACCCGTATAAGATTGCAATTATAAACACGTTATTGCTAGCCTAATATGAACCACTAGCTTTTGTTCATAGTAGTTTTATTATACTCCATTATAGTTGCCGTTCCTCCGAGCTAGCGTTCATATCGTGTTAGCTACCAAGGTAAACAAGAAAGCTAGGTTAGCATATTAGCTGGCAAGCTGTTCATTAGATAGATCCACACTCCTACCACAACTACTACTAACGAATCTAAAACAACTAAGTTTCTCTAATATTTTGTGATTTGCATTTGATTTCGTCCAGCCAGGTCCTGCCGGACAATACCTGACGGGGACGGGACTACTACTACTGAGGCCTCGTCCTAAAAAGCACCGGCTGCTATAGGCAAGATGCCGACAACGGGGAGTAATTGATGATATACCGTGTATATATGTATATTTATGTTCATTTTGTACATTTCTAAAAATAAAGTTTGATGGAAATACTTAGTAGGCCTATCCTTTCTTCCCTGAATGATTTGCTCCTATAACATATCATTCATATATAGCAAACCATGATTTTATTTCTCATCAAACAGTAGTAGTTTATTACAGGTAAAAATACCTTACTCTTCTATAACAACAGTTGTAGGTACAGTTCGGTTAGTTAGCGTATAAAATATACGGCTGTACCGACGTCATTATAAGACTGATGTTCTGAGAGCGAGCCGCACTGTTAGACATGGGCGGAGCCTCTCTGGTGGTTGACTAATCAGAACAGAGTGGCCGAGCTGACCAATCGGAGCACACTAGGCTCACAGGGAGGGGGGGGCAAGAGCTCCAACGAGTCGTTTAGTGGAGAGAGTGAATACTGCTGAATACACATGCTTTACAGAGATGCTGTATGAGAAACCAATGTGAGTTTGGAACATTGCACAGTATAAATCTATTTTAGTATACCTCAACAATGTAATTATGATCAGTGGAAATGGCCATGACATGGGCCCTTTAAACATCTACTTTAAACCAAGATGGAGACGACCAAAGACCAAACCCATGTCCAACGCTCTTTAAAGAAAGTTGAAGAAAACTTTAAAGCCTGGTGTTACTGCCTACAGATTCTCCCTCTGTGGTTCACACACACACACACGCACGCACACACACACACACACACACAGAGTAATTTGTCAGGCGCTTCCTGCTGTCCTGTCATGTTTGATGTTTAAATTAAAACCATCGATCAGCGTTTGGCTCTTATTAAAGTTTCCCTCTTGCAGTGTGTGTGTGTGTGTGTGTGTGTGGTGTGTGTGTGTGTGTGTGTGTGTGTGTGTGTGTGTGTGTGTGTCTGTGTCTCTGTGTGTCTGTGTGTCTGTGTGTGTGAGTGTGAGTGTGAGTGTGTGTGTCTGTGTCTGTGTCTCTGTGTGTGTGTGTGTGTGTGTGTGTGTGTGTGTGTCTCTGTGTGTGTGTGTGTCTGTGTCTCTGTGTGTCTGTGTCTCTGTGTGTGTGAGTGTGAGTGTGTGTGTGTGTGTGTGTCTGTGTCTCTGTGTGAGTGTGAGTGTGTGTGTGTGTGTGTGTGTGTCTGTGTCTCTGTGTGTGTGTGTGTGTGTGTGTGTCTCTGTGTGTGTGTGTGTGTGTGTGTGTGTGTCTGTGTCTCTGTGTGTGTGTGTGTGTGTGTGTGTGTGTGTGTCTGTGTCTCTGTGTGTGTGTCTGTGTCTCTGTGTGTCTGTGTCTCTCTGTGTGTGTGTGTGTGTGTGTGTGTGTGTGTGGGTGTGTGGTTGTCTGTGTCTCTGTGGTGTGTGTGTGTGTGTGTGTCTCTGTGGGTTGTGTGTGTGTGTGGTGTGTGTTGTGTGTGTGTGTGTCTCTGTGTGTCTGTGGTCTCTGTTGTGGTGAGTGGAGGTGAGTGTGAGTGTGAGTGTGTGTTGTGGGTGTGTGTGTGTGTGTTGTGTGTGTGTGTCTCTGTGTGTCTGTATCTCTGTGTGTGTGTGTGTGTGTGTGTGTGTGTGTGTGTCTGTGTCTCTGTGTGTGTGTGTGTGTGTGTGTGTGTGTCTCTGTGTGTGTGTGTGTGTGTGTGTGTGTGTGAGTGTGTGTGTGTCTCTGTGTGTCTCTTCCTGTCTTCTTCTTCTCTTCTCGATAACTCAGCGGCCTGCTTTCTGCGTCACTTCCTGTTGGTTGTTGTGTGCGATGATTCAGGTGTTCCTGGTAAACCAATCAGATCACAGCGGTCACTTCCTGTCCAGCTGTTTTATGACCCTCCCCCCCCCCCTCCACCCCCCGATAAAATATACACCTGTCAACCTGCAGGACAGCGAGTTCTGATCTGAGGTCAGAGCGACCGCAGGGTGAACAACTGTCCGTTTGTAGTTGCTGTTATTTCATGTTATATTTGTTTGTCTACAGGTGAAGCACAATGGACTCATTCAGGAGATGAAGCACCCAACAGCTGGATACATCTCTGTACCAGGTACACACACACACACACACACACACACACACACACACACACACACACACACACACACACACACACACACACACACACACACACACACACAAGACAGAGATCAGTGATAGTGTAATTCGGGAAAGTACTGAGTAAAGTTTAACTTACAAAACAAACTGTGTGTGTGTGTGTGTGTGTGTGTGTGTGTGTGTGTGTCTGTGTGTGTGTGTGTGTGTGTGTGTGTGTGTGTGTGTGTGTGTGTGTGTGTGTGTAGGACCCGCGGTGCGTTACAGCAGCTTCCCCCCCCTCGGAGGCCACGCCCCCTCCTCTGATTGGTCAACACACGGTCCAGGTGCTGAGAGACACTCTGTCCTACACTGATGATGTCATCGAATCGCTGCTGGAGTCCCGGGCCGTGGCGCAGAACGAAGTGTCCTAATTGGCCGAGAGACAGGAAGTAAACAATAACAACCAATATAATTACAAGTAAAAGTCACTGTGAGACTTTTTGAGGTATTTTTAAGATTTTCCTGGTTAAATTAATGTTTTATTTACGTATTAAACATTTTATTAATGTGCTTTAAAGATAACAATGCAAAACTAGACTTTAGAAACAGAAATATGTGTTTATTTTGTTATATTTAAATTCATTTTACAGGTAAATGCAGCTAAAATGGACTAAAAACACAAAAGAAAGACTCCATTCCTCAGGATTTGAAGCCGTATTTTTAACATTATTAAATGTAATCCTCACTTTGAATGCTATATTTAAAACACTCCTGATTTGTTTGCACTTGTTTGATTGTAAAAGATAAAAGTGTTATTTTTGCACTCAATAAAAAATACGTTTTAATTGTGTCTTCAGATTGTTTGAAGCTGGGGTGGAAGCTGGGGTGGAAGCTGGGGGTGGAAGCTGGGGTGGAAGCTGGGGGTGGAAGCTGGGGTGGAAGCTGGGGGTGGAAGCTGGGGTGGAAGCTGGGGTGGAAGCTGGGGGTGGAAGCTGGGGTGGAAGCTGGGGGGGAAGCTGGGGTGGAAGCTGGGGTGGAAGCTGGGGTGGAAGCTGGGGTGGAAGCTGGGGGTGGAAGCTGGGGTGGAAGCTGGGGTGGAAGCTGGGGTGGAAGCTGGGGTGGAAGCTGGGGGGAAGCTGGGGTGGAAGCTGGGGGTGGAAGCTGGGGTGGAAGCTGGGGTGGAAGCTGGGGTGGAAGCTGGGGGGGAAGCTGGGGTGGAAGCTGAGGTGGAAGCTGGGGGGGAAGCTGGGGTGGAAGCTGGGGGTGGAAGCTGGGGTGGAAGCTGGGGTGGAAGCTGGGGGTGGAAGCTGGGGTGGAAGCTGGGGTGGAAGCTGGGGTGGTGGGGCAGGCGAGCAGCAGCAAGTGAACACAGCAGCAGCAGCATAGCGAGGCAGAGGCAGGAAGACCTGGCAGCTTCAATAGAGCGGCATGTTTAGGAGAATGCGTTTGGTTGGTTGAAAGAGGGACGAGGCGCGTCACATGTTAATGTATCATTGGTGCTCCAGTTGACTGCCTGAACTAGCTCGCAGGTTTCGCCCCATATTTGTGACTTAAAAGTCTCTTTTTCACGGGTGTCCTTGAACTCACCAAAAGTAGGATGTAGAAGTAAAAATTGCTTGAAAAACTTCCTAAAATCTTGGGAAAAAATGTTTAAAACTGTACAAGTTAGATATCAAAACAATATGTAAAATAAGATGTTAAATGTGCAAATAATACGCAATAAATATGTGAAAAATATCAAATAAATATGTTGCAAACCACGCCCCGTAAAACTCTGAAAAGTTTTGGGAAGCCGCCATTGTATTTGTGGCATTAGCATTATTAGCATTAGCATTAGCCCAGCGCACCAACGCAGAGAGACTAACTTATGGCAACACAAAATTCTCACTAAACATAATATTCCCTTCCACTGCTACGCCGACGATGTACAGATCTATCTGCCTCTCAAAGCAAATGTCACACACTCACTACAGCAGCTGATGGACTGCTTAGCAGAGATCAAATCCTGGCTGAGCAAAAACTTCCTCAACCTCAACGAGAGCAAGACTGAGGTCATCTTTTTTGGACCCCAACCTCCAGCCTCTCCGGTTGATATTCTGGGGTCTCTCAAAAAAAACATCCTCCCCTCGGTCATGAACCTTGGAGTGACCTTCACCAGCACTTTTAAATTCGACAAGCAGGTCAGCACCGTAGTAAAATCCTGCTTTTTTAAAATAAGACTATTGGCCAAAACCAAGTCGTATTTATCTTTTAAAGACTTAGAAAGGGTTATTAACGCCTTTGTAACCTCGAGACTGGACTATTGTAACGCTCAGTATGTGGGTATGGACCAGGCGTCAATTAAACGCCTGCAGCTAGTCCAAAACGCAGCTGCACGTCTTCTGACTGGCCACAAAAAGCGTGACCACATCACCCCTATTCTGGCCTCACTACACTGGCTTCCAGTTCGGTTCAGAATTGATTTTAAACTCCTTTTATTTGTTTTTAAAGCACTAAATGGGCTGGCTCCGGCCTATATAGCTGAACTCCTCCAGCGCTACACCCCAGCCAGAGCTTTAAGGTCTGCTGACCAGCTGCTGCTGGTAGTGCCCAAGACCAGGCTCAAAACCCGAGGGCACCGAGCCTTCTCAGCAGCGGGCCCGAGGCTCTGGAACACTCTGCCCCTCCATGTGAGGTCGGCCCAGACCCTAGGGGGTTTTAAATCATCACTAAAAACACACTTCTTCTCTCTGGCCTTCTAGTCAGAGCGGAGCACGACTCCTGACTTTTCCTTGTGTTTTACATTTTTTTTTTTTATATATATCTGTTGTAATTTATTGTCTTTTATTGTGATTGTAGTAATGTGTTTTTATTACATGTACAGCACTTTGGCTCGACCAAAAATCGCTTTTAAATGTGCTTTATAAATAAAACTTGATTTGATTTTACTTGATTTGAAAAGAAAACATGGGAGCGGTGGAGATGAGGAGGTGTCGGCGTTCTGGTGATTTCCTCTGAAGGCTTCAGTAGAAGCTGCTGGGAGTCCCAGCAGCTTCTACTGTGTGTGCAGTTCAGCTGGCAGAGGTGTTCACAGACATCTTCAACAGGTCCCTGCTGCAGTCTGTAGTCCCCACATGTCTTAAACACTCCACCATCATTCCTGTCCCCAAAAAGATAATCATCACCTGCCCCAACGACTACCGCCCAGTAGCACTCACCTCCATCATAATGAAGTGCTTTGAGCGGTTAGTCAAATTATTCATCACCTCCTCCCTCCCTGAATCTCTGGACCCCCTGCAGTTTGCCTACAGAGCAAACAGGTCCACAGACGACGCCATAGCCCTCACCCTCCACACTGCCCTCTCACACCTGGACCCGAAGAACAGGAACACATATGTGAGAATGCTGTTCATTGACTACAGTTCAGCATTCAACACCATTGTGCCCTCCAAGCTGGCCATCAAGCTCAGAGACCTCGGGCTCAACAGCGCCCTCTGTGACTGGATCCTGAACTTCCTGACGGGCAGACCCCAGGCAGTGCGGGTGGGAAACATCACATCCTCCACCCTGATTCTCAACACCGGTGCCCCTCAAGGCTGCGTGCTCAGCCCTCTCCTCTACTCCCTGTTCACCCACGACTGCGTGGCCACACACAGCTCCAACACCATCGTGAAGTTTGCTGATGACACGACCGTCATCGGCCAGATCACAGACGATGACGAGACGGCGTACAGAGAGGAGGTCGAAAACCTGACATCTTGGTGCCAGGAGAACAACCTCCATCTCAACATCAGCAAAACAAAGGAGCTGATTGTGGACTACAGGAAGCAGCAGGGAGAGGGACACGCCCCCATCGCCATCAATGGGACTACGGTGGAGAGAGTCAAAAGCTTCAGGTTCCTTGGGGTCCACATCACTGAGGACCTGACATGGTCTCTTCACACCACCACCATCACCAAGAAAGCTCGACAGCGGCTCTTCTTCCTCCGCAGGCTGAGGAGGTTCAAAATGGATTCCAGGATACTCTGCAACTTCTACAGGTGCACGATAGAGAGTATCCTGACCTTCTACAGGTGCACCATAGAGAGTATCCTCACTGGCAGCATGACGGCCTGGTACGGCAGCTGCACCGACCTCGATCGTAAGGCTTTACAGAGGGTGGTGAAAACTGCACAGCACATCACCAGGACGGAGCTGCCATCCATGGAGGACCTTTACTCCCAGCGGCTCAGGAAGAAATCACTACGGATTATCAAAGACCCCCCATCACCCCAGCCACAAACTGTTCTTTCTGTTGCCGTCTGGCAGACGTTACCGCAGCATCCGGGCAAGGACAAGAAGATTCGGAGACAGTTTCTTCCCGCGGGCAGTGAGACTGTTAAAAAATTGAACTGTTGAAACATCAAACATTCAACTGCTACTCAGTAGTATGTATCTAATACCTAATATATATATATCATTCCAATAACTTGTATATAGACTCGTACTGCACTATTCCACATCATAACTTTATTTCATTTTTATAACTATTATTATTTTTGTATTGCTCTTGCTCTTATTGTTATTATGTTATGTTATTATGTTGCATTGTTGGAGAAGCCTGTGACATAAGATTTTCAACTGCATAATTACTCTGTAGCTATGTCAGATTGACAATAAAGAACCTTGAACCTTGAACCTTGAAGCCTTCCCCAACTCCGGGGACTTCCGGCCGGGGACTCCGGGTGGCAGTATACGCCGTGAAGTTGTTTGAGGCCTGCCAGTAAACCCAAAGCAGAAGAAGAAGAAGAAGAAGAAGAAGAAGAAGAAGAAGAAGAAGTGACGTCAGCGGCTTCATTTGCCTAATCCTCCCTCAGGGACTTATTCCAGTGTGAACGCGATTGGTACTAAGTGCCCTGGGGTACTTAGTGCCCTGGGGTACTTAGTGCCCTGGGGTACTCAGTGCCCTGGGGTACTTAGTGCCCTGGGGTACTCAGTGCCCTGGGGTACTTAGTGCCCTGGGGTACTTAGTGCCCTGGGGTACTTAGTGCCCTGGGGTACTTAGTGCTCTGGGGTACTTAGTGCCCTGGGGTACTCAGTGCCCTGGGGTACTTAGTGCCCTGGGGTACTTAGTGCCCTGGGGTACTCAGTGCCCTGGGGTACTTAGTGCCCTGGGGTACTTAGTGCCCTGGGGACTTAGTGCCCTGGGGTACTTAGTGGCCCTGGGAGTACTCATGCCCTGGGTACTAAGTGCCCTGGGGTACTCAGTGCCCTGGGGTACTTAGTGCCCTGGGGTACTTAGTGCCCTGGGGTACTTAGTGCCCTGGGGTACTAAGTGCCCTGGGGTACTAAGTGCCCTGGGGTAATTAGTGCCCTGGGGTACTAAGTGCCCTGGGGTAATTAGTGCCCTGGGGTAATAAGTGCCCTGGGGTAATAAGTGCCCTGGGGTACTAAGTGCCCTGGGGTAATAAGTGCCCTGGGGTACTTAGTGCCCTGGGGTACTAAGTGCCCTGGGGTACTAAGTGCCCTGGGGTAATAAGTGCCCTGGGGTACTAAGTGCCCTGGGGTAATTAGTGCCCTGGGGTACTTAGTGCCCTGGGGTACTTAGTGCTCTGGGGTACTTAGTGCCCTGGGGTACTTAGTGCTCTGGGGTACTTAGTGCCCTGGGGTACTAAGTGCCCTGGGGTAATAAGTGCCCTGGGGTACTAAGTACCAGGCACTGAGTACGGCAAAGTACTTGGTGTGAACGCGCCTAACAGGCGTGATCTGCAGGAACAGAAGCCATCCATTAAGCAATATCCAACCGTCTTAACTTGACCAATTTATCAGATTTTAAAACATTTTGAATCATTTTCCACATGTTTTATTCAGACACTTTAAACATAAT